GTAGAGGCCAACCGAATTTCGGCTTCGGCGCCGAAAGTGACCATTTGATCACTTTCGGCCTTGTTTTGGTTTCGGCCGAAAATGAAAAGTTAACTTTCGGCTTAATTTCGGTTTCGGCCGAAACTGAAAAGTGTAACTTTCGGTTTAATTTCGGTTTCGGCCAAAAGTGATTGAGACTTTCGGCCATCTGGCCGAAAGTGACTGAGGTTTTCGGTCATCTACCAGAAGTCAGACTGTCTGTCTGTCTCTAGACCGACAATCCGATATTCACTATTGCTCGACGTCTTGTTGTCATCGTATGTTATATGACTAATACTCGGCGAAAACTGTCCACAGCTGCATGATGACCTACTTGTCCTATTATTTCCAAAAAATTACATTTCAATTAGGCCTAAGCTAGGGTGACCAAATCATGAACAGGAAAAAAACGGGACACACCCAAGGAAGGTTGGGGGGAGGGGATACCCTCCAGCTAAAGAGGGGTTCGGGGGCCTCCCCCGGAAACTGTTATTTTGAAATATGCTCATTTTAAATACTTTGAGACCTGGAAGTCTTTTTAAATTTACATTCACTTTTTTATTTTCATTGTATTAATTTCAACTCTGAGGCAACATCTCATAAACGACAACAATAATTGAACAAGAAAAGCCAAGTCCATGAGCCATTTGGGATCAGTTAGAACAGGAGCAGTGATCATGTCTCGGATGCCATTTGGGATCAGTTAGAACAGGAGCAGTGATAATGTCTCGGATGCCATTTGGGATCAGTTAGAACAGGAGCAGTGATAATGTCTCGGATGCCATTTGGGATCAGTTAGAACAGGAGCAGTGATAATGTCTCGGATGCCATTTGGGATCAGTTAGAACAGGAGCAGTGATAATGTCTCGGATGCCATTTGGGATCAGTTAGAACAGGAGCAGTGATAATGTCTCGGATGCCATTTGGGATCAGTTAGAACAGGAGCAGTGATAATGTCTCGGATGCCATTTGGGATCAGTTAGAACAGGAGCAGTGATAATGTCTCGGATGCCATTTGGGATCAGTTAGAATAGGAGCAGTGATAATGTCTCGGATGCCATTTGGGATCAGTTAGAACAGGAGCAGTGATAATGTCTCGGGTGCCATTTGGGATCAGTTAGAACAGGAGCAGTGATAATGTCTCCGATTGCTACGATTTACAAAATTATAGATAGTTGTGCATTACCCACCGACTTAAAAAAAAAAAAAAAACTTTTCTCAAAACGGCACACTTGCCTCAAAACGGCACACTTGCCATGTTTGTCTCATAAAATGCTATAAAACAAAAACTTTTAGTCCGATTTTAAAACGGTTCTTACCATTATAATCAACATACAAATCTATACAAACATAATTCAAATCAGAATTCGACTAGTCGGTGAGATTTGACTGAAACTGTCGCGGAGAATATGAGAATGGGGAAAACGCGTGCGCCACATTGACACCAAATTTTGCAAATGGGTCGCAAATGGCCCGCGAGTTTGAGATCCCTGCATCAGATGTTTATTTATTACAATTAACGACGATATATTTTTATACAAAGAATGTAAATATTGATACTTTCTCCATCATTTTCGATGCAGAATATAAGCGTGGACGAATTTCAAAATATCTAAATATATCAGTTTCGGCCGAAAGTCTCGTTAAGCTTTTGGTTTCGGCTTCGGTCGTAAGTCATTTGTCTCTTTCGGCCTAGTTTCGGTCGAAATCAGAAAATCACTTACGGTCGGTCTCTAGTCATCTTTAATTTTATTTTTTTTATTGAAAGTTTCAGGTAATCTTTAATGTTTTCGAATTGAAGTCACACTCATTTGTCGTCTCCTGAAAAGTGCTACCATTATGTAACACTTGTTTGTTACAATATAACATTAACTGTGAGATGTTACCAATATGGAAGACATGTTTGATACAATGAAACGTTCAATGTAAGATGTTACCATTAAAGAACACTTGCTTGCTACAATCTATCGTTTATTATGAAATTTTAAATTTTGTTTTATTTTATCACATAAAATACTCTATGACTATGTTATTTCTTGTTTATCCCCAAATAATCTTTCATTCCCTACTGCTTCGAAGCCCCTGACTACAAATTCATCAATGCATCGACACAATCTAGGTATAATATAACCGAGTTGATATCAAGATATAAATTTGGATTGGCAAGAGTTAATAGTACTGTAACAGAAGACGGTGCATCGAACTAGTTTATGTGGGGATTCTACCCTCCCTATTGCCTTTGAACTGACCGACCCTTCCCTTGAGTCCCCCTCTCTGAATTATCCGGCCCTTCCCTTGAGTTATACGATCCTTCTCTTGACCCCCCTTTTGAGTTATCCGACCCTTCCCTTGACACAATGGATCATTTTGCGTACCCCTTGCTTAATAATCCACTTTCCATTTTGGTGGTTACGGTGCCGGGTATTTGAAACTTTCCATATTTGAAACTGACCAGTTGTTTGTGGGTATTTGAAACTGACCAGTTGTTTGTGGGTATTTGAAACTGACCAGTTGTTGGTGGGTATTTGAAACTGACCAGTTGTTTGTGGGTATTTGAAACTGACCAGTTGTGTGTGGGTATATGAAACTGACCAGTTGGTGGTGAGCATTAAAACTGACCAGTTGGTGGTGGGTATTTAAAACTGACCAGTTGTTTGTGGGTATTTAAAACTGACCAGTTGTTGGTGAGCATTAAAACTGACCAATTGGCGGTGGGTGTTTAAAACTGACCAGGTGTTAGTAGGTATTTAAAACTGACCAGTTGGTGGGTATTTAAAACTGACCAGTTGGTGGTGGGTATTTGAAACTGAACAGTTGTTAGTGGGTATTTAAAACTGACCATTTGTTGGTTGGTATTTAAAACTGACCAGTTGGTGGTGGGTATTTGAAACTGAACAGTTGTTAGTGGGTATTTGAAACTGACCAGTTGATGGGTATTTAAAACTGACCAGTTGTTGGTGGGTATTTAAAACTGACCAGTTGGTGGGTATTTAAAACTTAAACTGACCAGTTGTTGTTGGGTATTTGAAACTGAGCAGTTTTTGGTGAGTATTTGAAACTAACCAGTTGTTGGTATTTAAAACTGACCAGTTGTTGGTGAGTATTTGAAACTGACCAGTTGTTGGTGGGTATTTAAAACTGACCAGCTGATGGTGGGTATTTTAAACTGACGGTGGGTTTTTGAAACTGACCAGTTGTTGGTGAGTATTTGAAACTGACCAGTTGTTGGTGGGTATTTAAAACACACTCTACACAAGATTTGGTGAAATGACTTCATCAAACACTCTAACACATATGACAGTCAAACACTCTAACACATATGACAGTCAAACACTCTAACACATACGACAGTCAAACACTCTAACACATATGACAGTCAAACACTCTAACACATATGACAGTCAAACACTCTAACACGTATGACAGTCAAACACTCTAACACGTATGACAGTCAAACACTCTAACAATTATGACAGTTAACACATATGACAGTCAAACACTCTAACACATATGACAGTCAAACACTCTAACACATATGACAGTCAAACACTCTAATACGTATGACAGTTAAAACACTCAAACACATATGACAGTCAAACACTAACATGTATGACAGTCAAACACTCTAACACGTATGACAGTCAAACACTCTAAACACATGAAAGTCAAACACTCTAACACGTATGACAGTCAAACACTCTAACACATATGACAGTCAAACACTCTAACACATATGACAGTCAAACACTCTAACACATATGACAGTCAAACACTCTAACACATATGACAGTCAAACACTCTAATACATATGACAGTTAAAACACTCAAACACATATGACAGTCAAACACTCTAATACATATGACTGTTAAAACACTCAAACACATATGACAGGCAAACACTCTAACACGTATGACAGTCAAACACTCTAACTTGTATGACAGTCAAACACATATGACAGTCAAACACTCTAACACATATGACAGTCAAACACTCTAACACATATGACAGTCAAACACTCTAACACATATGACAGTCAAAACACTTTTGAGTTTCGTTTGACTTTCTCTAAGGAGAGGTGGTTAAGGGGAAGTGTTTGACTTTGCCAGTTTTGTCATGTTTAATTTTAATGTTACAAATTACAACAAATGATTAATTTTATAGTATAGTGACTCAAAACCAAATGCAGAGACTCCAGAATTTACAAACCACTGCAGCACGAATGGTATCGTGGATATAGAAATCTGACCACATCAACCCATTTCTTAAAGATCTCCACTTGCTTTCGGTGAGAGAGCAGTGACCACAAAATTCTGTCCCTGGCGTACAGCTGTATGGAAGGCTCTGCACCGGAATTTTTTTTAAGAACTTATTTTCACAAACTTGTATCCTTAAAGAACCTGCGTTTTTCATCTCAGAGAGTTCTCAGTGTGGATGGACACAGAAAGAAATCCTATGGAGTGCGCTCTTCATCTCAGAGAGTTCTCAGTGTGGATGGACACAGAAAGAAATCCTATGGAGTGCGCTCTTCATCTCAGAGAGTTCTCAGTGTGGATGGACACAGAAAGAAATCCTATGGAGTGCGCTCTCTTGAAGCAATAGCGCATCCATTAGCAAACAGTTTGCTTTCATCTTTGATGGAAAATTAAAAATTATAAAAATCATTTAAGATATACTTAAAGACATTTTTCTTTAGATTTGTGAGATCACTGAGCTTTGACTTTGAGCACGCTAGAATAGCATGGACACAAGTGCTATACAAGTACTCAGTCATCATCTACTCATTGAGGTATTGAGCCACAAGTGCAATGCAAGTACTCAGTCATCTTCATCATGATCAACTCATACAGGTACTGGGATCTGTATTATTAGGTAAATGATTTGGTATTAAACTAAAAACAGGTATATTCAAATTCATCCATACAAAAAAAAATCATATTTAAGCATATCGGTACAAAATTAAGACAACCAAACTCCAACATGTGTTGTTGATGCACTCATTGTAAGATGGAAAATCAAAGGGTTTATTTCTGTTACTTTCATGTTTTCAAATCTCTAACATTTAGACTAGACGGTATCAACAAACAACAAGTTCATCACCTCAAAACAATGGACATCCAAAATCCATTCAAGCAATATATCAGACGTCACAATAAATAGTTTCATATAATTGAACATTTCGTTAGGTGACAGAATCACCGTGCCGTCCTAGACAAACAAATCCATCATGAACAAGACAGCTTTCTGCATCTTGGACTTCAGAATCACAAATGCAGAGTTGGTGATGCTGTCATATAAAAAAATGCATGTTTGCGATGTTGTAAAAGTGCTTTTGATTGACTTATGATTGGCAGGCTCTTGATCCCAACAACCAGAATAAACAATCTGATGAATCCATCCTGAGAGAAGAAATCTTCTTTACACCCAACTTAACAGTAACTTAAGGCCTCGAACCATTTCACAAGGTCAACTACCTTCACAGGACACAGTTCTACTTGCAAATTATTTATTGACTTTTAAATTTTAATGTATAAACTAGATTCAAGAATTTTAAAACTCCAACATTTTCTCCAAAAAAATCGCTGACAAAAGGTTTTAATTTTCTTTTCAACAAAAAAATATAAATAAAGCAATAAAAATCATACATTGAGCCAAAACACCAATTATTGGAAGTAAGAAAAAACATAGAATCTGCCGAGCAGACTGTTCCGTTCATTCAGTCAACAGATTCTTACCAGCAATATCAAGTCATAAGTCAGAAAGATTTCTGTAGACTTCCACATACAATGAGTAATAACAAGATGGTCATTAATGCCAGCTATTGACATCATCGGTGCCAGCTATTGAGCTCTGTGCCTGATTTATAACATTGAAAGATCTAGTGCTCATTAATGCCAGCTATTGACATCATCGGTGCCAGCTATTCAGCTCTGTGCCTGATTTATAACATTGAAAGATCTAGATGTAGCAGAGCTTGAAGGGCCAGAGAGATTTGGGCCAATAATTAGGGGGGCTTATGATCTTATATTATAAGTATGAGCAGAAAATCTAAAATAATGTATAACATGTACGACAGACTTTTATTTCCATGTTGAAATGTAATATGAAGCAAGAAATTGGTGCTTTTCTGACATATATTGCATTTATCAGACCTATTTACCCTCAAACTCTTAAAATCGTACAATATCATCACATGATCGTTCAATACATTCTCTTATTAGAAAAAAAACATACATTACAGTATATAATGTAATGTATACACCTCAAAATTGTACATTGTACGCCAAAATCGTAAGAGTTAACAGGTCTGATGTAGCTGAGATAGCATTTTTTTAAATGTCTTCTCATTGAAGTAGGTATTTCCAAAGAATGAAATGAATTAACAAGCAAGGGCTTATCAATTACTGAACTGATCAGCCAAGAGGCACTTATAAAGGTCCATCATTTCACTAATAAAGTTCTGTTGCTTCAATTATAAAGGTCAATTATTTCACTTATAGGGTCTAAGGTTTAACGTTATTTTTATCTAAACTTAAATAAAATAATAATAATAAAGATTATTTGAAAAACACGCTTCATCCCCAAAAGCTCAAAGCGCTGTACAAAGTCAACCATATTAAAAAAAAAAATAATAAAAAATCATTGACTTGCCGATTGATGTTCAGCTGGCAGCCCATCAACAACACGACTGACCGCTCACAGTATCCATGACAGTTATTTCCCCCATAATTAATAAATGATGCAATAGAACCCCAGGCTTTCAATGACAGCTGTTGTCATAGGCTTTCAATGACAGCTGTTGTCATAGGCTTTCAATGACAGCTGTTGTCATAGGATCTCAATGACAGCTGCTCTCATAGGCTCTCAATGACAGCTGCTCTCATAGGCTTTCAATGACAGCTGCTCTCATAGGCTCTCAATGACAGCTGCTTTCAATGACAGCTGCTGTCATAGGCTTTCAATGCAGCTGCTTTCATAGGCATTCAATGACAGCTGCTGTCATAGGCTTTCAATGACAGCTGCTGTCATAGGCTTTCAATGACAGCTGCTGTCATAGGCTTTCAATGACAGCTGCTTTCATATTCTTTCAATGACAGCTGCTTTCATAGGCTTTCAATGACAGCTGCTTTCATAGGCTTTCAATGACAGCTGTTTTCATAGGCTCTCAATGACAGCTGCTCTCATAGGCTTTCAATGACAGCTGCTCTCATAGGCTTTCAATGACAGCTGCTTTCATAGGCTTTCAATGACAGCTGCTTTCATAGGCATTCAATGACAGCTGCTTTCATAGGCTTTCAATGACAGCTGCTTTCATAGGCATTCAATGCAGCTGCTGTCATAGGTTTTCAATGATGGCTGCTGTCATAGGCATCAATGACGGCTGCTGTCATAAGCTTTCAATGACAGCTGCTGTCATAGGCTTTCAATGACAGCTGTTCTCATAGGCTTTCAATGACAGCGCTTCTATTATTGACTTTGTAGCTTTGACCAAGTTCCAATCCAAATTGTATGGAGCAATGGACTGATCTACCACATTGGTAAATGGCCCTCCCATGTTGTATGCATACTTATGCATAGATGCTAAATCTCCCGTGACTTCATATCACTCCGCTGACCAGATTAACCGACACCACGACGCGCTGTAGTTTGCCAAACCCCGTGCTACATAATTAAATGGACAATAAAGAGCATGGAAACTTTCTCCAATCTTTTCAAATGATAAAAACTAAAATATAGGTAAAAAAAATGTTTAAAAAAAACAAAGAATTTGTTAAAAGTAAATGCTATTGTTTAAAGAAGAACCACCAATGACTTAAATTTTTTGTTGTAATGTAGATCAACACTTTAAGATAAGACTTTCTACATTACATATTCCACATACAATTCACAAGGTTTATTGCCAACACAATCACATCATCTGCTTAGAGTCTTTTTTTTCCTCATGGCTGCTTGCTGACCCAAACAAATCTTAGTACAACTGGATCCACTTTAATTATTGCCTGAAACCCCCACATAGGTCCACTGCAAACCAAGTGCTCTGTAACTTCAGTGCTCATCAGAGTTACTGTTCAGTGCAAAATGAATATGGTCCTGGCCAGTTTGTATTTATATTTTGAATAGACTCGGCTCAGACTGTACATCAGTAGTAATATGAACCCTTCGCCCAACATCAAATTTACTAACTACCAGTGTGACTATACACAGCCCCACACAAAAATACCCCTATCACATTTTTAAAAAAAAAGTAACACAGGACAATATGACCATCATAAAACTTGGTTAAAAAGCCAAGATATGACCTTCATAAAACTTGGTTAAAAAGCCAAGATATGACCTTCATAAAACTTGATTAAAAAGCCAAGATATGACCATCATAAAACTTGGTTAGAAAGCCAAGATATGACCTTCATAAAACTTGGTTAAAAAGCCAAGATATGACCATCATAAAACTTGCCTGAACACCCAAAGCTCGACTACACCACTGAATTCATCTTAATGATGGTCTGGCAAAATCACATCACCTAACTTAGGAGCAGCACAGGTTCAATGGGTGATACAATTGACAGACTTTCGGACAGAAATATATATAAAGAAGGATGATTTAATGCCATATTAGATGTACGATACATTGATTCAATTACATAACTAAAAACTGTGTATGACATTCCACATAAATGCTTACAGTAAAGCATCAAATATTTGATACACTGACAAACAGTGTCACAATATGACATTTTGACTTGATACTTTTAAAATGTTCTAATATCTCTATAGTAGAAGTATTAGCAGTAGTGGTAATCTTCAAAAAACTCTATTACACAATCAAAATACAATTTATTTAAATGCCTAAACACCTGTCAACTTCAGCAAAAGTACACTTTTGTGGTGTGTACATAATTAATTTATTCAAACCGTTCCAACTATGACTTCTTTCCCCAGCCAACTAACCAGTCCTTGTTAATTCCAAATATCACTTCTAGCCCCTGCCACCTGACCAGCTATCCCACTATCACTTTTTGCCACAGTCACTTAAGCAACTATCACTTCTTGCCCCAGCCACCTAACCAGCCCTTGACAATTCCAGTTAGTCCACCCGCTACAGCCTTTTTCTGCTGTTCCAGTTTGTCATCCAAAGATGGGAACTCAATGTGGTTTAGTGCCAAGTCAAAGAAGAGAGGTCGACATGGTATTGGTTCAAACTCCGGGGGGAAGCGGGTCAGTATGGCCTTTTTGGTAGTAAGAGATTTCTCCGTGATGTATTCATCCAGTCTGTCTTCAAGAGGCTATAAGTAGATTCAAAGAAAAATTATACTGCTATCAAAATTGTCAGCTAATAACATGCTCTTCAGTTTTATTAGAAATATGTTACACTAACCCACGAACTGTCGTCGGCCGATCTTCCCTTCCCAAACTGTGTCAGCCGATAAAAATTGCGTTGAAAGAATAAGTTCCAGTCCAATATTTTACACAAAATAAAACTACTTCCTTTTATTAATAAATAAACTTCAGTTTTTCCCTCTTCTGTGTCCTTTTTTTAAACTTTTGATTTATTTTTTACAACGATCTTTATTAAGCAAATTTGTGTAAGTAGATTTTCGCCAAATGGATGAGCTGGACCATCTGGCTTACAAAATAAATCAGTTAAGAATCTTTTTAATAACTTTTTAGTTAATGACTTAAGTGATTCGGAAGATGATTTTCCGATCACACACGAAGACAATGATAATTCAGATTATTTTTATAGTGGGTCAGAAAGCGAAAGTTCGGACTCGGACGATCTAAGCCTAGAAAGAGTAGGCGTTGCCCCAACAACAGGACGCGTTCAAACTATGTTGCAGATGATTGTGTACCAACACAAAATTATTTGATGTTGTTCTATATGTTTATTTATATTTCAATTGTATCTGTTTCTTGCTATTTAGTAATGCTTATAATGTTTATGTCGTGCTTTGTTACTTGAACGTAACTAAAACATATACCGGTACAAATAATACATTTTCTGAAAGATAAATGAAAATGCTATCATATTATATAAACATTATAATAATATGCCTTTAAAAAATTGTAGTTTGAGTTACTTGAAAAGATTTTTTTAATTATTTTCTTTATTCTTGGTCACTACAAGGTCAAGGTCACGGTCAGTAAGCATATTAAAAAATAGCCAGTATGATTTCTCACTCAGTCTAATTTCAATAAATGTATACTTTATGGGGTCTAGCTGTAGTATTTGCATGTGAAAAAAAAATCACATTTTTCAAAGGCACCCAAAAAGCTCTAAATTGCCAGCACAGTACAGCATAATACAATGGACAGTTCGTGGGTTAATAAGATAGGAAAATAAAAGCTGTGGTATCCATATTCAAAATCTTAAAAATCCTGTCAGAATAAAGGGTCAAATTATAGCTGAGGAAGCAGTGTGATAGAATCAATAATAAAAAAAACTTCTTTCACAGACCATTTAAAGCTTACCCTTTTGTCATTAACAGGAACTGAAAATTGTTGCTCTCCTGAGGTGCTTGAATCCAATATGCTGTAAGCTTGACAGGAGTACATTTGACCACTTATGTGTTGCTGAAGGTCTTGTAATGCACTTATATCTTCCTGTGAAATCAACAAGTTTATGTCAAGAAACGTTGCGATCTAACACATAAACATGATCATTTATCTTCCTGTTACATAGTTATCAGTGAAATTTCTTTGAGCTCTACCATACTCTCCTAGCAATTGTTTACCTTTAATTTAGGGGATGAAGGATGGTGTTTTAAACCTTCCAGGGCTTTTTTACAATTGTCCAAAGCTCTTTGATATAGTGCAACAGTTTCTTTCCATTTCTTGGCACTTGCATAGGACCGGCCAATGTAAAATGACCTGAATCAATCAAAAAGAAACAATTCATTGAGAATTCAATTCATTGCAGATTTTAGCACCGTAGAACACTCATTGAATAACTCGAAAATAAACGTTGCCTCTTAAATCTTAATATCCACACAATGCCGATTGGCATCGACCGAATTTAACCTTTATGTCCACATAACAACAAGAAAGATTTATAAATTCTCTTTCCTTCCCTGTGCACACATTATTGCATGTTTACTAACTTCCTACACAGGTCAACAACAACTTTAAATGAACCTTTCCTTTAAAATTCTTAAATTCTGATTGGCAGCACTTTTTACATTTTTTTTTTACATCTATGTTAAAATTGACATGATGAATTGATAGCAATTCTGATGTAATTAAAGAAAATTCTTCAACTACTTATCCAAGCTGTAGAAATACACATTTCTGAATTTAAATTAATGAAGTGAAATAAATATTGCCTACTTTAACCCTCGAACTGTGGTTGGCCTTTGAAATCGGGCCATAGTCTTGTTCTGTGCTTTGGCGGCCAATAATTATTGCCACTTCCTTTCATTAATAATTAAATCATCTTCCGGGTCAAGCTGTTTCTTGATAACACAACCCAAATCAGTTCCAAAGTTCCTTTTTAAATGTTTACTAGTCGATAATAACTATTTTGCCAGAGATTTTATATTTTGTACTGGGTTTTAGCTGTGGTCCCAGTTTCTTATATAAATGACCTAAAATTACTTTCAGAGGTTTAATTGTAATAAAAACCTAAGCAAACTATACATTTTCAGAAAGATTTGTGTTTAAGTGTATCTATAAAAATTAATGTTATGAGCACTTGAAAACAAGATATTTTGTCGATTTTTTTTCCTTGAGCACTCCAAGGTCAAGGACGATGAGTAAAAAATTTTTACGGGGTGGGCAATATAGCCAACTTTATCCCCATCCATTTACCTTTCTAAAAATATATACTTATTTGGGGTTTGCATCAATTTTTCTATTTCATTTAATGCAATTTCAAAAGGCACCCAAAAAGCTCTGAAAAGCTCCCACACTACAGAATGATGCATGCCACAGTTCGAGGGTTAACAGAGTGACTGAGTTTACCATCTTATAACATATTTTCCTGTATCAGGATGAGGGGGGGCATGTGCATAAAAGTTGTAATGTATGAGCTATGTGGGTAAAAAGTGGTTAGGTCACCAGAGAAGTTCGGGTCTTGACTAACCTAAAAGCCTTATATCCTAAAACAGAAGTTTCTATTTCTGAGGCTATCGTAGCATCATCTTGTATACCATGGAGATTAGGAATCTCATTCAAATTCTGGAATATAACAAATTACAAATGCAGGCATAACAAATATTGCAATGAATACCAATGATAAAACAACAGACTTGTAATTGAAAACATTTTTTTTTTTTTTAAAGCGTAACAACTAAACTTCAGACAAAACGTAAATTTTAAAGAACTTTATGACATGAAATAGGTTACTGGTACCGGTACTCAAGGCCAAACACCTCCAACTTACACAAATGTTATTGCTCCTCACTAGAGGCACATAATGAATGACAAGCATCCTCTTGGTTTAATTAAATGATCAAGTGTCTTAAAAGTACATCATAGAATTTTTTTATAATTCACATCAATTGCTGACGACCCTTACACAGCTACAAATCTAGGGACACCCACCTGAATAATAATGTCATAAAGACGAACAAGGTCTTGGGGCTTAGTTATCTTACGACCTTCCTCAGGATTATTTTCGGGTAGATTCTGCTTAAGATTTTCCACCATAAGCAGATTTCTATCTATTGTTGTGGTCAGGCGAATGTACATGAGGTAGGAGTGCAGATAGTGCTGGTTGGAGATTTTTCCATCGATGGGCTGCCCACGTACAGCTGCCTTAAAGACCTGAAAACATTATAAGTCAGCATATCAATGAAAAACAAAATAAATTTACATAAACATCAAATCCAAATAAAAAAGGTTGCCAATTTCTTAATTTAAGAAGGACCGTTTAATGCCTCCAACATCTCAAGTGCTATAGAAAAAGCATAATTACTTGATCTTCCTGCAAAGTGTCCCTCAGCGCCTGCTGGGCATCAATGCATTGTTTGAGAATACTTTCATAGATGGACACCCTGCTGTCTAAACTTTCCGCAACTTCTAATTCCGAGTTCAGGTCTTGCATGTTGAGCAAGAAAAGCCGGACTGCCTCTACTTTGACAGGAACTGTCCGTCCTCGCCATGTTACTTCTGACAGAGTCGCAGCTTGCTTCTCTCGTGTTTGTGATAACAAGTCCTTTAAGAGAATCAAATTATATTCAAACTAATATTAATATCAAACTACCATATAGCTAACAATTTAATAGCATTAAATGAGAATATAAAAATATTAACTACCAGCAAGTCATTACTTTCTGCAAATAATCAGAACTGAGTAAGACACATTTGTATGTCTTCATTCAGGGGTGACGACGACTTAACGCCTCTAAGTCAGAGTCCCGCACCACAGAGGCAACTCGGAGGTGTCACATGGGGTTCACCTCCCGAAGCCCAAAACCCTGGCCACTTGCATGACTTCCAAACGCAACATAAGTAACGCAATAACATGATTACTTGTTGCCATCTCCAATGTGACGTTACTAGCATGTCTTCATTATCATTTTTTTTCCTTATGGAAATGTTTCTTTCTTTTTTTTAAAAATTCCTGCCCTGTTCAACACAAATACTTTTCCGACTTTTAAATTTCTCTGACCAAAAACCTATAGTCTAGTTCATTAATCTTAATCAGCCAAAGTCCTGTCAAAACTCAATCAGGGTGAAATTAACTAAAATTTAAAGAATTGTAAAGATATTGTGAAACACTTGATAAGAACCATATGCTTACATCAAGTTTAAATGACAGCTGGTCTTCACCAGCGGCAATTCTCATCTTCTGAAGGTCTTGCAAGGCCGACTCATCACCAATATTATAAGCACAGTAGCGCAAATTGGGTGATATTTCATCAACTCTCTGTTGATATATGATCTGAAGTTCTTCTGAGAATGCATTGGCCAACTTTTCATAAATGGTTCTGTTGATAAATATATATAATTGAACCTAAAAATACCATCATTTACTTTTTTCTTTAAACAGAAGGTATTGTCAAACATGTTTAAATGTTAACTTAAAGTTAAAATAAGTAATGAAAATTTTATGATGATAATTTTTTTAATTTATAATTAAATATTAAATTAAAAGGGTACTTTTAGTTTAAAGACAGCTGATAAGATATTTGACATCCAAAGGAAAACTCACTTTGCTCTTGTGTAACACTCCATGGCACTCTCCCATCTTTCTCCTTCAAATTCAAGACAGCCTCTAATCCAGGCATTGTACGCCTAAATAAAATTATACAAAATTTAAATGCTTTGCTCCAAGAAACTTGGACAATATGTTTAAAGGTTATAATTTAAAGTGAAAGTTGTATCCTACCTGGCATATACCTAGTGCAGTTCTAGCATCAACTTGTAGCTGTTGCCAACTGACTGAAATTGTACATTTTCTTTTTGGGGCAGAGCTAACTCTCTCTTATGGTGGCCCTGGCAAGCACTTTACAGGCGTGCCGCATCTGCTGGACATCAACCTAAGATCATACGTTCAACATTGACTTCTGAGGTGTTCCCAACCCCGCCGCTTAGTATCGGGCACTCTGCTAGTAAGTGGCACTACTATCTACAGTACCTGTCCACAATGACGACAGCTTGTTCTCCGAAGAAGGGTTACCAACTGTCTCCAAGATTCTAATCTATAGTTAAAGTTGTATCCTACCTGGCATTCTAGTTTAGTTCTAGCATCACACTTGTAACTGTTGCCAACAGACTCCAGCTCCTCAGCATACACAACTGCCTTCTTAAGTTTGGAAACCATGTGAAAGCGCTTACGTGGCTCAGTGTTTGCCTCAGATTTTAATTGCATAGCATAAGCCCAACATCTTTCAGCACAAAACAAAGGTAGTTGCAAATATCTGTTGCACAAAACAAAATATAAAAGATGTTTCAAATAAAAATTTTGACTCAACAGTTTCAATTAAGATTTCAAATTCTACATGGTTAATGAATTGAAATTCAAGCCTCATTTAAAACTGTGTACATTTCTTAAAATACTTTTTAAAATTAAAACACTCTTAAGCATGTATGCATCCTAATTTATTTATAAGCAGTGGATTCATCTAAATTATACTTGTATATTTTGGACACATCTCAAAAGCAAATCAATTTTAAGAAAGAAGAATTTACTAATACTTTGACTAACTGGGACACCATGCAGGTAACCTGAGACATTTTGTAACCTATAGTTGGTGAAACATAGGTAATAAATATACTCCTCAGATTGTTGCGTCCTTTTTTCAGACTTTTCCATACTTTCTTATTGCCCATTTCCTTAATAAATATATTACTGGATATCATTTAGAGTTTGTAGACACAAAGAAAGAGAACACTATTTGAAAGTGCAAGGCCTAAACAATAAGTATCCACTACAAATTCTATCCTTATATAAATATAAATTAATGTTTGATGACTAAAACAAATGAAGACATGGCAGAGCTGAAGAGAGGAAAAGAAACACTTGTCTCACAATTAATATCCAAATTTCTTTCATTTCATGAGTGTTAAACAAAAATTAAATTAATAGGTTTTAAAACCAACTCTATTTTTCATTAAACAGAAGGTAAGATCAAACACATTTTTATTTAAACCTGTGACTATTTGCACCCGGGTATTCAGAAGTGAGAGGTTGGGATTAAAAAACTATTTAAAATATTATTGTTGGGTTTGTAAGACGCATAGCCGCTATTTGGACCTGGGTCTCTTTAGACTAGATCCCATTCGGATGTCAATTGTGGTAGTTTATTTTAGTTAAACTGAAGAATTAAGTTTACAAACACATAGTCCATTCAATTATCTTTCATTTGATACCTCATTTTGTCTTACAAACCTAACAATAATATTTTAAATAGTTTTTTAATCCCAACCTCTCACTTCTGATACCAGGGTGCAAATAGCCACTTCGTTTACTTAAAATAGAAACTTTTGTTCCAATCCCACAGCTAAACTCATAAAAGATCAATTATTTAAATTGCTCAAGACCATGGCAATGTTAAAAGCTGAAAATCAAAGAAACCTATCTATGGAAAATAAAGTAACATCAATAAATCTTAGTTTGACAATCTATTTTTATTTTAAAATATCAATTTGTTGACCTGGCATCTAAGAGCATTTCCGGTGTCAACTTTTTAGGTGCGACTCGGTTTCTGTTTCCTTGAGGAAAATGAAGCGATTTTCTGATTCTCTTAATTCTTCTTGAGCAGTAGCCTCTGTAAAAAATATTTAAATGTTAAGAATTAATATAAAGTAATGATTAATACAATGAAATGTATTTTAATCAAGTATTAAGAAAGACATGTATTGTGAGAGAAGTCAGATACAGCAGTGGTTCCCAAACTTTTAAGTTTGGCGGACCGGTGAAAAAGTTTCGAAATTTTACCAGGGACCAGTGCATGATTTATTTTTATACTTTTATTTCTATTTGACAATAAATATTTATATATTTATGTTATGGAGACCAGCAGCGTTAGGCATGCAGACCGGTGAAGTTCCACGGACCGCCATTTGGGGACCACTGAGATACAGCCACTAGGGGTAATGGAAAAGGAGATAGAGCAACATATATGGTTTAAATAAAGACAAGTTCCTGCAATTAGGGGGGGGGGGGGGCAGGGAGAGGGGGAAGAATAATTTTACACTAAAGGAACATAATGCAAATCTTGACCTTATCAGGAAATTATGTGGAATGTCTGCATATATCATATTTTTTAAGTCCGAAACTAAGATAAAAAATGTACCTGTATCTCTGATAGTCTCCATGCCTGAGGCCATGTTGCTGCTGGGCATCCTTTAAAAGCTGCAATGCTGAAATTTTATTTAACAGACTTAAAAAAACTTAATATGCAATCTCTTCAGTTTTTCCAAAGCACTCCCTATAGATACATGTCATTTATGGACAACCCCCCTCCCTACAAAAATAAGATAGGGACAGAAGTTGTTATATCAGGTGAATAATTTAGTAGTGAACATTTTCACTAAGACTGTGTCCATGGGTATACATATATGGATAACTAACACAGGTTATAAAGTTGGGAACAGGTAGGTCTACCCATGAAAATGCCCAAAATGGTCTTGCAGTTGTATACATCCCCACAAGACAACTACGCTCTTCCATTGACAGTAGAACCCTCTCAATCCCAAGAACTAAAACTAAGACCATCGGTGAACGCTCCTTCTGCTTCCATGGGCCTACGTTCTGGAACCAGCTCCCCTTCCATATATGTCATAGTGAAACCTCGTCCATTTTCAAAAAGTCCCTTAAAACTCATCTGTTTAGGTCCGCCTATGACCTGTGATGCACCCTCCTTGCCCTACCTCATTTTCTGTTTCGGGTTGATCCTGAAGTGTCAATAGCCATTTTCATTGTTTCTATAGAATAGTAGTTACTATCCTAGTGTCTCATTTGTATTTACTTAGTTTACATGTTTTAATAATTGTAAAGCGCTTAGAGCTTTATGATAAGCGCTATATAAAAATGCCTAAATAAATAAATAAATCAGCAGCCTAAAATCTGGCCAGGTTCTGGATGGGGGATGCCGCAAGCTCATGTACTATTAACATACATGGGGAGCCAGCAATCGCGAGCTGAGTACAGACACACACAGCTCATTCAACAATCATTGCATTAAGTGTGTCAGTTGCCCTTCTAGGCCACACAAAAGTAATTGTTTGGTTTGTTTGACTTACTCAACTTACTTCTTTTTTTTCAAAACCAGAAACAAACCGTCATTTCCGATGAATATTGAAAAATGAGCTTTGGAAAAATATAACCAAAAAAAAAATAAGTTAATTTATAAAAACTATCGAGATCAACATCTAGTTGACGAAGTAGGGCAATGGTCCAAAAAAATGGCTGATTACCAATTAATCAGCAAAAGGGACTTTTACGATTACCTTCCAATTTTTGGGTGCAACCCTACCTAGTATTAAGCATAATTTTTTCATAACTGGTTCATAAGCTATTGGTCCCAGTACCTAAATACCCCTTTTGAAAAGCTGATAATCAGTGTGAACAAAGGTAAAGATTTGGTTAGTCGTAAGAATTTTGACAAGAGTTATCTAACCCTAAGTGCAGTAACATCACTTTGGGGAATCCCATCACTGGACTTAGGGTAAACAGACCAACTCTTGGACCTGAACGATGTGTGTGATATCTTGCCTGTTTTTAACTGAGCATTTTTTGCACCATAAATTAAATCTGATGATCGATAAAGTTAATACAAATTATACTGAAATGAAATGTTTCATTTGTTTTTATTAAAATTCAACTTATAAGGTTCAAAATTATGTTAAAATGTTAATGTCCAGTTAAATTGCAACATTGCAGAAATGAATAGCATATGTCATACAGGTACTTCGTTTTCAAACAACAAAAAAATAGCACTTTTAACTCTTTCGATGAGGAACAACGCACACTGCGTTCATCCGACGTTCCCAAAAGCACTGACCAACGCACTCTGTGTTGTTTTAATATCATGTTTTTTTCTTTGTCTGTGCTGTTTCTCTGTGAAACTTTTTAAGAGCTAATTTTAAATAAGACTTTTACATAGAAGAGTGGTACTTCATTGTTTATAAGTGAAACCAAGGTTTATTTGTTGTCATTTGAAGCATTATTTTAATGATTTTCTTCGCTATTTTTTTCTACTATAGCTATGGCTACCCTAGCCTCTAGTAGGTGAGTACGTTTCCTAGACGATAAACAGCTCCAAAAGTTTTTGAACTGTTTTATACCATTTCTTTTGATTGTGTAGATGATTTATATTTAGATCCATTTGATGATTCCGATATTAGTATTTTTAGAGGATATGAGTTATGGAAGTGAAGATGAGATATGCGTACATCATAGGATTTGGGGAAAAAATGTTTTAGCTTATAATGATTTCACATTTTATGGTTCTTTTCTGTAACTTATTTTATTTAAACTGAAGAAATAAGTTTACAAACATATAGTTAGATACTTCGATGAAACAAGGGAGACTACTATTTTTTTTGTATCGGAAATGGGCGTCGGCGCCGAAAAATCCGAGTTTTTAATTTTCCGATGTGTGTGTCTATTTATTATTAAATTAGTTCTTTCCACATATATTTGAGTTCCGTTTCCAGCCTTATAATTTGGAAGACATCTTGGCCTACATTTCTAGCCAGCTATTTTGCTTTTTTCAATCGACCTTTATTTTGAAAATCTTTGGTATATATAAGGCATCTTCGCATACAAAATTTTTTGTGAAATAATAAGATAAGGTCCTTTTTGATTAAATCTGTATGAGCATTAGATATTGATCTATATCTGTGCCAAGTTTCATTGATGTAGGTCGTGTCTCACGTTTGTTACACTTGTCACAGTGACCCATATCACCATAAGGTGGCTCAGCCTAATTTCGACATGGCGTGGGCCACGCCCCCTTTTTAATGGCGGAAGTTGCCGATACTTAGGAAATATTTAATTATTACCACTATATACATCAAAATATTTTATATTTTGTGTTTCAGAATGCATTTTGAAGACATTTAAACTGGAAATGTTTTAATTTGAGCTTTAAAAACCCTGCAGAGTCCATAATATAAATGATCAGAATTTTCCCTGTGCAACACGTTGTCATTGGCAACCATTCACAGCCACTTGCATAACGGCTACGTTGTAGTACTATCTCAGAGTTTCATTCATAAGAGTTTGCCGTGTGCAAAAGCTATTAAACCATTGGTCAGGGAAAGCTTTTATTAATTATTCATGTGCCAAAGTTGAAAGTTTAAAATAAGTCGACCCTAAACAGTATTTTAGTGATAGGGAATGCGTTGCCTTATATAAACTATATAGTCATTGCGCATGACGCGATCAGTGGAATGAGGTCACAGAATGTGGAGATGCAGTCCATGTTAAAAAATGACAAACCAAGTCGTACTTTAAAAATTCATAACTTTAAAACTACAACAGCTAAAAATATGATTTTGGTGTTATAATTCTGTTTAAAATTAGCTCTATTCAACTGTGCCATTGATTTATTTTTAAAAATTTTTTACATTTTTGACCAAAGTATCTACATATAGTCCTTTCAATTATGTTTCATTTCATACCAAGTTTAGTCAAATATTTTTTTTTAATAATCCCAATCTCTCTCTTTTTTGCTCTTCGAAAAATAATGTACATTTTTTCGACAAAAAATTCCGCACTGCAGCAAAAGAGTTAAACATCATTAAACATGCTCACGTCTTTTTTACGGTGATCATCTTGTGGTATCAGCAAGGATGAGTTTCTCTTTTTATTTCTTTTGAACCTTGTAAGTTGAATTTGAATGACAACAGAATCTGTATTGATTGTCTGATTATGTTTTTCACGCAAATAATGCTCAGTAAGAATGGGAAAGTTATCATTGTCATTGTTCTGGTCTAACTGTTGGCGTTGGTCTAGTGTTGGGATTCCCCATAGTGATATCACTGTGCTTAGGGCTAGGGTGAGACAACTCTTGGCAAAACCCATGCCCTTAACTGCACCTTTAACTCGCCCTCTTCATTGTTAGGGCCCCTACCATCTGTGTCTTTTGTTTATTATTATTAGTTAACATGACATTTTTGTTTTAAAAATACCATGACCAAGCCATATAAATTATTTAGTAGCTTACTTGAGACAAAGACTAAGCATTTAAAGAATGATTTAAACTGCTACCGGTAGGTCTATTTGAGCAATTATTAGTTTAGGCGTATCATTTTGAGTTGGGTTGTTTTTTTTTAGTCTACTTAATTATTTACTAATTTAGTAAAGAAAATAACCGTCCAGGTGAACCATTCGTTCCCGTATTGAAACCTGCTTATGGTATAAATACTTTAGCATTAAATTAAATAACATGCCCTCAGCAAAAATAAGAAGTTATAAACCTTCTAGAGTTAGTGTATTATCCTTTGAAGAATCAGTTTTTGACTGATTCGACGTATTTGTAGAATCCCCTGTCACGTTTTCACCCTCTGTGGCCATTTTGAAAAAGCTAGCCGCGTCACATCATTGCCCGTCTTACTAATTACCGAGATGAAGGGTATGATGCCGAGACGGGTTACATTTAGAGACTTAAAAAGACATTCAACAATGCATTACTGTATTACATTTAAAAATTAAATCAGTGTTTTTAATCACATACCGAAACGATACTACTAGTTGAAATGTTGAGCTAAAACCTTCGACCAAAAAAACAAAAAAAAAACATCATTTATTATTTGAATGAATATATCGTTTGCTTAATCAAATGTAAATGTATTTAATAAAAATAAAAATGTAGAAGTACTTCCACTCATTGACTCACACTGTGCCACTAGGGTTACTCATTTCCCGCTGTTTGCTTTATGCCGGGTAAACGGAACAACAGTAACTTCCATCCCAGGATGAAATTATTTATACATAAAATATAATATGAACTTAATTTTTAAAAATGGGCTTTAATTATCTCTTTAATTGTGTAGTCTTTAACTTTAAAGAATTTTTAAAAAAACGACGTTAAGGCTTGTTGAGAGGTTGGTCACTTGCGCTTCTATATAGTCTATTGGCTTCATGTTCCCCTATTAGTATCAGCTCTAACTCAAGTCTCCAGTAGTAATAGTTGAATAGCTAATTACTGATTAAATTAATAATTAAATGTTAATTAATATTATAATTTTTAAGTAAAGGTCGGACATGACCACCTGTAGAAATTAGTGAAAGAAAAAACACCACTTTCTTTAAATGAGTTTAGGATTCTTCACAGGTTTCAAATTTAATAAATTAGCCCATGTCACGAAATATTTACAAACAAATGTAACTAACAATAATAACTTGTATTGTAACTAGGAGTTTGTAGTGTGTTTGGATTAAAAAAACAATTGAAAATGTTAATATTAATAAGCTTAGGTTAATAGGTTTGTCAAGAAACTTTAGGAGATGGAAAGTTCATGCATTGCTGTCGCCAATGTTTGCCGAGCTATAACTACTATTGCTATATTTTACTATGTTTACCCACACATCCCTTCCTCCAGGGGTGTCTACACAGTTGGGGGGGGGGGAAGCAGTTGCTTTTAATCTGGGTTAGCAAGTTGAGGGGGGAGGGGGTACCCCAGTTTATTATGCTTTCTCTACCATTTATTCAAAATGACTATACAAAGGGCAGGCAGGCACATTTTGGTAACCATGGCCACACCAATAATTTGATACTATTACTTTACTAATTTACTTGGCAGAGGCTAGGGTTGGTGTCACCTGGTGTGGTAAACTCATGGTCTCAACCCTTTTTTCCGGACCCCTTACCCCTGCCAGGTCTGCACCAAGTATTCTTAACCAGATCATAGTACAGAGTCATTTCTTACAACAGAGGTGGCCAAGCCAAAAGGCTCACAGGCCACTGTGATACTGAGTGAACCTTTAGGCTCACAGGCCACTGTGATACTGAGTGAACCTTTAGGCTCACAGGCCACTGTGATACTGAGTGAACCTTTAGGCCCACAGGCCACTGTGATACTGAGTGAACCTTTAGGCTCACAGGCCACTGTGATACTGAGTGAACCTTTAGGCTCACAGGCCACTGTGATACTGAGTGAACCTTTAGGCTCACAGGCCACTGTGATACTGAGTGAACCTTTAGGCTCACAGGCCACTGTGATACTGAGTGAACCTTTAGGCTCACAGGCCACTGTGATACTGAGTGAACCTTTAGGCTCACAGGCCACTGTGATACTGAGTGAACCTTTAGGCTCACAGGCCACTGTGATACTGAGTGAACCTTTAGGCTCACAGGCCACTGTGATACTGAGTGAACCTTTAGGCTCACAGGCCACTGTGATACTGAGTGAACCTTTAGGCCCACAGGCCACTGTGATACTGAGTGAACCTTTAGGCCCACAGGCCCCTGTGATACTGAGTGAACCTTTAGGCCCACAGGCCACTGTGATACTGAGTGAACCTTTAGGCCCACAGGCCACTGTGATACTGAGTGAACCTTTAGTGGGCCGCATGTAAATACACCCACTCATTATTCAAATAAACACCCAGTAAATACCCACTTAGTGCTAAATGCTGTATAGATTTCATTATATTTTTAAAATACACATTATGATTGTAAAAAAACCAAAGAAACCTCAATGTGATATATAATATTGTTTTTTGTTCTCCCACTCTACTTTTTACGATCACTCTTTTTCCTATAGTGAAGACCAATGACGTTATTTTTTTTTTATAAATCAGGCAACGGAGTGCCACAATATTTGACTCAGTGCTGGGCCCCTGGCGTATACTATTATTTGTTAATTATGACCTAAAGTAAGCAACAAAAGACATAAGAAGGAAACAGAGAATTTGAAGTAACATCGATTAAAAAATGCATAAAGTTGACTTTTTATTGAAACAATAAACCTCATAATGAAAACATTATTTTTCTGGTCTTCAAAGGTACAAATGTGTTTATCAGTCCACCGCAATAAATATTCTTTACCGGAATTACCGTAGCACATTCAAATGACAAAATTGCTTGAGAGCCCGGACTGTTCCACGTTAAGAAGCTATTAGTTCTTTATAAGCTTCAACTTTGAAAAGTCGCTCCCCTCACATGAAGTCACATACATACATATAGTGAGAACTAGTTATTTTAGGCTTAATGAGAGGATTGGGAGAGAGTCTTGGAAGTCCCATTCAGCCATAAATGTCAAAACTTCAAATGATGACCATTCTTTGGCTTTGTCGAGATGAACAACTGCTTCTTTCAGGTGGCTCCACAGACTTAGTATTTCAATTTCAATTAAAAGTTCACTTTCAGACTACTTATAACTTGTCAGGTTGGGGAAAGACACGAGTAACTCATCTTCGGTCGTCAAGAGTGGACTCTTAGCTAGAACAGCCTCAAACGTATCTTGCTACCTCCTTGGTAACTCTTTATCTGATCAGGAGTATGAAAACAAACCATATGTTCAGCCATCTCCATCTTGTTTTCTTCTTTCAAAGTCAAAGTGAGTCCGGCGTTCTATGATTGCTCCCCTGGCTTTTTCTTCACCCCCTCCCATGAACCTCCTCTGAATCTTCTACTCTGTGCTCTCATAGCACCCTACTCTGGTAGCACCCTGTTCTAATGGCACCTTCTTGTGACACCCTGTTCATGTGGCACCATGTTCTATTTCCAACATCCTCTGATGGCACCTTACTCTGCTTGTTGACATGTCCTGCAGACAGCCTCCTATACTGGAAATATGATCTGGTGGCACTCTGTTCTTGTAGCACCTTGTTCTGCTGCCTCTCTGCTCTGGTGACAACCTGTTTCTGTGGCAACATAATCTGGTGGCACTTTGCGCTGACACTCTGTTTTGGTTGCACCTTATTCTGGTGCATCTTTTTATGGTGGCACCCTGTTCTTGTGGAACCCTATTCTGGTCACACTTTGCTCTGGTGGCATATTATTCTGATGCCGCCCTATTCTTGTATTTAACTGAGTTATGTTATGGGACTGACGCAAGACAACTCTGTCAAATTTGCTTATTGCACTGAGTGTAGTCCCCCTTAATAAGGGTTTCACCCGGTGGGCTCCGGATCCAGTGTCTGTTAACAAGTTAAGACCACTGGTGTGCTGTGTTTCTCTAATGAAGTTTGGCAAAAGGGTGCATACGTTTCTTACTACACCACGGACCGAAGCAAGATTTATGAATAATTTTTTGATTTGACCTTAAATATGCTTTTTTTTTTTTTTTTTTTTTTTTTAAAACTACGCTTTCGCCCGGGGAAAGAAAATTTTTAAAAAAAA